GATACCATGAGGGTAGGGAGACAGTGGAGGGAGAAAGGGGGAACTGATTGCAATGATCAACATATAACACCCCCATTACCCACCGAGAGGGATAGACAACAGAAACGTGGGTGAAGGGAGACATTGGACAGTTTAAGATAGGAAAATAATAATAATAATCTGTAATTTATCAAGGGTTCATGAGAAAGGAGGGTGGGGAAGTGGGGGGAAAAAGTGGAGCTGATGCCAAGGGCTCAAGTAGAAAGAAAATGATTTGAAAATGATGATGGAAACATATGTCCAAATGTGCTTGATGCAATTGATGTATGGATTGTTATAAGAGCTGTAAGAACCCCCAATAAAATGATTTATAAATTAAAAAAAAAAACAAGCCATGAGCCCCTTAAATGAGCAGCCTTAGTACAAACAGGCTTTAGCTAGGAGGAAACCCATCCTAGAAATATAATAGACTAGAATCATAGTCTAAGTCTCTTTTTACCAAAGTCAACTGTTTTCTTTTAAATTCTTTATAGCCAATCAGACATTTGCTGCTACTTCTCAGTACACCTAAGTCATTACTACTTTACCATTCCCTCCACTAAGCAGGGACACATGCCAGGCATATCTCCAGCAATGAGGCTGATGTTCATGTAAGGCTTGTCCGACCCATGGGATTGCTTCTGTAGGACTGAAGTGAGGGTAGACCATACTTAGCACCAGGAATTTGGAATGCTGGCTCATTAAGAAAGAGAAATGCAAAATTCAGAATGTTTCCTGTGATCTCATAGGCACAGTCCAGAAAATGGATATACGAGGGAAGATTCATTTCTATTACAGTCAGCACCACCAGCTGTTTGTGGAAATTCTGATGCAGAAAAGTAGGGCAGGCTGGAAGATCATTGAGCAGAACAAGCCCGGCTTCCAAATTAATATTGTTTCAAATGTTTGGAAGCATGTCACCATATAATTTTATTTAATTTAAGGCCCCAAAGAGCCGCTTAGTGAATCTGAGATAGGCAGTTGACTGAAATTATCATAAAAACCCTGGAAGCATGAGGGAATAATGGATTTTGGATCATTTACATATATCATCATACTGAAAAAAATTTCCGGATGGAATTTAACCCTTTGAAAACACCTATTATCTCCCTTCTTCGATCCCCCATACGAGCTGACTGCTATGCAGTTTTGATTGACTTCACTTCTAATTATCTCGGAGTAATTTGGCTTGTGGGGGGCATGAGTTGAGAGAACATGTAAATGCTGCTCTGGCTTTGGCTTGCTTTTCCCTGCGTAGTGAGGGTCTGGGCTCCTGGGTACATGAAAGGTGGTCTGTAGGGGGGGCGTGGCTCCGGGTGCCCTTGTCCTCTGACTTTGAAGGACCCCTTCCCTCATGGGAAGGGTGTGGTTGGAAGAGGTCCATAGGGAGGCCTTATAAGACAATTTTAGCAAATAGTATATCGTTCAGTATGTTATTTTTAAGTAAACGAGGCTTGATAGACACATACATATACAGGTATTTTGGCACGTCAACAAGTATTGCTGCAGAATCATAGGCTGCCCCTTTACGGAACAGCAATACAAAGAGAAGCTCTTGTTTCTTGATGTTTCCTCCAGGTAGGTCTACACCTGTCCATGGGTGGTGCTTTCATTTCTCTCGTGTTTCCCTGAAGTTTACTCTGCTCTCCCTTCACCCAGGAGCTTGGGCATCCTTGAGAGACTCAAATCCCTCTTAAATGTTGTTTGAGTTTGAGAACCAAAAGAGGTCTGAAGGGGCAAGATAAAGGCTGTAAGGTGGATGGAGGAAGGTTCCCCACCAAGAATCTGGTTGGACAGCGATTGCTCCCTGAAAGAATGAGCCAATCCTTTTTCTGGATGGGGAAAGAAAAATTCAGGATGTAACTTCTCTGATTTTAAGTCCTCAGTGCAGTTTT